GGACTGTGAACTGAAGGCTGCAATGCATTTATTTGCATTTATCCTCCATATCATCTTATTCAATCCAGCCTCAGAGTTGCACACTAATATTAAAGAAAGAATAATTAAAACAGAGTCTCATCCAAGAACCCTTCTTGTACTAACTTGGATCATCTTAACATGATTTTAAGTGCGTGTGTGTGTGTGTGTGTGCGCGCATGCGCGCGCACATGCGCGCGCACATGCTTAATAGTATCCAACTCTTCTCAACACCATGGACTGTATCTTGCCAGGCTCCTCTGTCCATGAAATTTTCCAGGCAAGAATACTGAAATGGGTTGCCATTTCCTCCTCCAGGGGATCTTCCTGACCCAGGGATGGAACCTACATCTCTTGGGTCTCCTACATGGTCAGGTGGACTCTGCCAACTGCGCCATCTAGGAAGCCCTTAGGCATGTATGTGATGTTTATTATTCAGACACTACAAATGCAATGTTTGAAGTTAGGGGGAAACAATAAAATATAACTTAGAAAAATTATCCAAAAACCTGAAAATAGGTGAAAGATGTTAAAGGGGATTTTTCCAATATAGTGCTCCATTTGAATTTCTATCAACATGGTTATTTTACAACTCTGTAAATACCGGGGTTAATTTGTCATTTTTATTTAGTAGATTCAAGTAATGTCTGTCCAGTGGAACAGATGACCTCTAAGTTTATAGTTTATCTAGTTTTATATCTTATCCCCTGATATATCCCAATGCATGCATGTTAAGTCACTTCAGTAGTGTCTGACTCTTTGCAACCCTATGGACTGTAGTCTGCTAGGCTGCTTTGTCCATGGAATTTTCCAGGCCATTTCCTTCTCCAGGAGATCTTCCCAACCCGGGAATCAAAACTGTGTCTCTTGCATCTGCAGATGAGTTCTTTACCACTAGCACCACCTGGGAAGCCCCTGATTTATCCCAATATCTATTTACAAATATTAAAAAAATATATGTTTTATCATTAGCTTCTCATCTGCTCTTTATTGTCGTTTTTATTTTTTTTTTGTAGTCATTTTTAACATATTACTGGTTTCCTAATTAACAAGTGGATTGAATAATATCCTTAACTTATTCCTTTTGCCTCCTTATGAAAGTCATATTTTTAACTCTTTCAGAATTATCCTTTACGATTCTGATAATTTTCATGAGCTCTCTTCATTAGCTGTCTGATAATTTTCCTTGGATCATCCTATATTCTAGTGAACTTACCTAATGGAACTTAGTTCATTGGAGGTGGTGGTTCAGTCACTAAAGCGTGTCTGGCTCTTCTGCCACTCTAGGACTGTAGCCTTCCAGACTTCTCTCTTCATGGGGTTCCCCAGGCAAGAATACTGTTCATTGGTAAATAATCTTACTTGCTTACTTCAAAGCCTGGTACATCACATTGATCTTTTGCCTTTCCTGTTTTGTATAATCACATCACCCCTACCTCCCATCCAAGACATTGCATGGCTTATTCTTACTTTTTCATAGGTCCCAATCCATTCTTGGCCTTCATACCTTGGTAACAAGTAATTTGTCAAAGTTAATTTGCTAAAACTACTTAATTAGGCATTACACAGTTAGAAAAATAAATATTTAATGGGTCAAATTTCTTTTTCTCTATCCTTATCACTCTGCAGATAGCCAAAATATAGTACGAGGCTTTACAACACAGTGAGTTCAACAGTAAAAAAAAAAATTCTTAATATCTCAATGAAGGGTTAAATTAAATAAAAAATAATGGCACTCATAAGTCATAGCATCATTAAAGGTTATGCTACAAAAAGTTTTGTAAGGAATAAACTGAAATAGAACATAGACAGTGGATATTATTTTTTAACAATTGTTCTTTTTGCTACTATAATATGATACTTTCCAGGAATCACAGCAAGCTTCTGAACAGTCATAGGTTTCATTTCTTCTTAAGGAAATTTTTTCTTCTAGCTACAGTCAAATGTTTCTTCATTATTCATATGTCCATTAAAAGAGAACAATAATAAAAGCAAAAAGAAGCATTTCTAAAGATTATTTTGTATGATTAGAATATTCTATAATTTAGTATTATTTCTTATTCATCCTTTCATGCAACCTTATTGTTATTTTTAGTAATTTTATTCTAAAAGATAGATGAAATACTGACATTAAAGGAAATTAAATAAATGAAATGAGAAAAATTGGTAATGTTGCATAATAGAGTTTAAGAATGTCATTTCTTCCACTCACTGACTGAATAAAATATCACTGTTGGCTAACATAATTTGGAAAATTGTTATTCTCCACTGTCATTGGTAAATAATAGAGAATATAGAGTCAAAGGGAAGGAAATAAAATGACACAAACTTCTGTTCTTAGTGAGATTTCCTGTAATATGGTATTTACTTTAAAAAAGTAAAATCCTGTTCTTCTGAAATGATAAATTTTCTGTGAAAATTTCTGATAAACACCAAAAATTAAGCTTAATAATTTAGCTCCCTATTCATGTCCCAGTGGTCATCCCTCGAATTTAAATTTATAAGTTTTCCTTAAAAATAAAATTAGTCTGTGCCAGCTCAACAATCACAGATTCAGATGCCTTTAAATATTAGCAAATATAAGCTAATTTTTTTTTAAAAAATTGAGGTCAGATTTGGTTGGCCCAAGGTCACACTAATATGTTGTTTATTGTCTACAAGTGACATTTGCTGAATATTACCTTAGGCTACATTTTTAGCATTCCCTCTGGCATGCTGAGATTAGATGTGACATTTCCTGGCCAGAATAAAACACAAGGTCGATTCTAAAGAGTATAATACTATATTATTTCCATGCAACTTTGCATTTACTTATCTACAGTACACAGGCAGTTCGTTTTAAAGCATGGGACTTATGAACCACTGCTAGGCACATGCTAAATCCTTCTCCTTACACGATGTCTCCCCACACTGTCGCAGCATGTATGACTATCTCCTGAGCCCTTTGCAGAGTTCCTGAGAAAATAACCACAGTGGAGTTCAGAACGTTCCAGCTCCTACTCTAAGAGGGTAAGGGAGTTTATTCTCCCATTGCCTGGGGAGATGATAGTTTAGTCAGGAAGGAAATTTCCCACTGAGATAATGTTATACAAGATGATTGGCATATGTAAATCTATGAAAGTGAAAGTGAAGTGAAGTCGCTCAGTCCTGTCGGACTCTTTGCGACCCCATGGACTGTAGCCTACCAGGATCCCCGGTCCATGGGATTTTCCAGGCAAGAATACTGGAGTGGGTTGCCATTTCCTTCTCCAGGAGATCTTTCCAACTATCATGAGCTAAATAAAAATTTGTAGAACACCAAAGAAATATCAATTATTTACAAAAGTACTTAGGAAAGACAACCCATTAGTAAGTTTGTAACTGGAAAAACAATTTGGAAATGTCATGAATTTGGCTTAATGTTTTATTTTTCTTCCTAAAGCCTTAAAAGGAAAAAGTCATCATAATAATAAAAACCCACCGTTGGTCCAGCTTTTCTCTCATAATCACTCTGTTGCATTCACTTACCCTGACTAGAGTCAATTATTAAATGAAAATATGAATGTATACTTGAATTTTGCTCTCTGAATGAAATACAAGGCTTGCAAAATTCAAGCATTTTTTTTTCCTCAACCAAACGTCTGTATACTTACTAGTTTAAAAAATTGTAAAAATAGATAGTAATCTCCAATACAAAGAAAACTGTCCATTTAAAAATTAAAATATGATCATAATTAATTTTCTTGGTTAGCTATTACTGAGCTACATGGCACAATAAAATATATTAAATATGTAGTTATGAGTTTATTTTATTTTAAACTGAGTCTTATCTAGAAAGGTACACCTAGAGATGGGTTTACAATCCTGATTACAGGATTGCATTTATCAGTAATTCAGATTATCTGAAAACTTGAAAATAATACTCTCTCTTGATTTACATATTATCTACAAGCAACAGATACTATAACAAGAGGCCAATAAGTACCCATTTCCTTCTGTATGCAGCTCTCTGGGTTGGGATCTAGGAAATGTTACTCTGTATTGAAGGTGCCTGAACTATTCTACTTCAACCCTCTATATTAAATAAAGTGACTGTCAATATCCTAGTTGAAGTTACAGAGCACACATAGCTCTTTATATCTGTAAGGAGTGCAATGAGCCATCCAAGCTAACTCAGCAGAGAGAACATTTACTAACAAAATGATCGTAGAGACCCATTGACTTGATGGATGTCTGGGACTGTGTAGATAAGAGGTACCCATGATAAAAATGGGAGCAGATTTGAAGTCTTTAACAGGCTCCTTTTAGCCATCCTAGCATGGTTTATTAGCATGACACAGGCTCCCTGTTTTCTCTCTCTTTAATGATACTGTTCTATGAACCAATGAATGTTTTCATTTGGAAAATAAGAAAGCATTAACATGTTATCTGGACTGTGGTTTCTTTAGTGATGCCAAGGGAATAAATATTTTAATTCTGTGCTTTGAGGAATGTATTGGGTAAGGGTCATTACTTCATTGATCTCATTGAACACCAAGTCCAGGTGAGAAAAAGTTAATATTATACACCTTGGACTATTTCATTATGTAAAAGTTTGACTTAGAAAATGGAGAATTTCAGGGATACTTGGATATACTTTTAGATGATGACTTTCAGTTTACATTCTCACAAGTCACGTTTAATGTTTAACTCATCATTTGTTAATTAGGATAACCTGAAGCAATTGACCTCAAACTACTGCTTGACTCTTCAGAAAAGAGGCAATTACTATGAAAAACTACCACATAAATCTTGAAATTGTCACAAAGGCTTACACAAATAATTCTTTTTGATATAGAAATAAAAAACAATCTTCTTCATATACAAGGAAATGTATACTACATTCCTCGAGGAAGTAGTATTTTCTTGGCACATCAGGGCTTTTACAGCAGGAGTTAAATAACAGCAGAAGTGCTAACTGGAGAGAGGTTTCCCTGCTTTAAAACTGGAACAAAACAACTCTCAACATTTGCAAAACATTCCTTTATTATTAGAAATAAATTATTTGTATAAAAAATTGCATGCGTCAACCATTGCATTTATTTTTAGCACAACCCAGGGCTTCAATCCGGTCAGCCATTACAAGAAACGGACTCTTTGTCTTATACAAGTTGAACAATGTGGGACAGGAACGGGAGTTCTCACAATCACAGAAAAATACTTACAAGAATAACATCAGACAAGGTTTATTTCATATTTCAACAGCATTTGTTTTTGTTTTTTTCACAAGCTAACATTAGTTTCCTTTTGTGATTTTTTTTTTAAACTGCTCATGAATAAGCAATACTTTAGCTTGACACTCATTGGTTGCATTGTATAAAACGGGTTTCTCCACTCCCTATTATTAATACTTTTGGCTTGTGGCTACTTTTGGTTCCTTACAAGATTGACTATTGATTTGATTGATTGTAGTCTACAGAGATCTCCAGGAGTGAGTGTTGGTGGTGTCACGTTCATTGTTTAAGATCGCATACCACATTTCTTCATATTGTATCATTTCCCTGTTTCAGATTGAGTGATTGCTGTAGCTGATATATGTCGTCTTGGTGGAGGAAGCTGTTAAGACAAATTAAGACAAATTATATTACAGGATAATATATCAGTTTGTTAAAATGATCTTAAAATTCAAATCTTAAAGTGACTTCTTATGATATGTGGTCTTTACAACATGTTATTTTAAACCACATGGTAGGAATTCAACAGCTGTAGAAATAAAAAGCAGAATTTTTGATCTGTGAAACCACTAGTCTCATTTATAAAAAACACATTTAGCAGAAAATTAAAAATATGAACACCTTGGTGTTTAATAAAGTTAGGTGAAATTCTATTTAATGTGTGTTTTGATTAACAGAGATTTACAGTGTAAAAAAATGAAAGAACAGATCAATTCTATATCCCGCAAAATAAAAAAAGATTTTTTTTATAATCCACATTAAAGACATCAATTTTTTGAGCCTGCTTGATGACCAAAAAAGGGTCAGTCATTATAATTAGTCATGCTTTGAGAGTGAATATATCTTTTATTTAAATATAATACTTTTAAACTCTAAAAGTGAATGCATTAAAATGTATTGCCAACACATATTTATGGTCTGGTTTCATGGAGAAGGAAATGGCAACCCACTCTAGTACTCTTGCCTGGAAAATCCCATGGACAGAGGAGCCTGGTAGGCTACAGTACAAGGGGTCGCAAAGAGTCGGACACGACTGAGCGACTTCACTTTCACTTCATCAAAAGGATACAAATGGAGATGTTTAAAAAATAAAGACTTGAAGAAGCAAATTAATATTTAATTTTTCTGGTACCAGCTTACTGTGAAATAAAACCCATTATTGTAAGATTATTAAATAGGTATGAACAAGAAAATATTCTAAGTCAAATTGATATTCATAATTAAATTTCCAGAAGTACAAGTCTAAATCCAGATAATTCCTTTGTGTTTTTGAAAGCTGTGATGGAATAAATCTCTGTTCTAAAATTCAAATGTGATGTTCTACTTTTCAGTGGAACTCTGGAATGAATAAGAAAAAAGAAGAAAAAATACTAAACGTATATGTTTCACTTTGTTGTTTAGTCACTAAGTTGTGTCTGATTCTTTAGTGACCCCCATAGATTGTAGCCCACCAGGCTTCTCTGTCTGTGGGATTTCCCAGGCAAAAATACTGGAGTAGGTTGCCATTTCCTTCTCCAGGGGATCTTCCTAAATCAGGGATCAAACCCTCATCTCGAATTGGCAGGCAAATTCCTTACGATGGAGACCCCAAGGAAGCCTATGCATTTCACTACATAAATCCAATTCACAGTGAAACATTTTTTTTTTTTTAGAGAGTGATTTACTTTTGAACATTGAATAAGAAAATTGTAAAGTTCCTTCTCTGAAATAATAAGTGATTACTCATTCCACTTTAATGTACATGAACTCTGGTAATTGACCAGATAATTTTTTATCAGAACCAGCATTACCTAAAGACCATAATCAGTAAAATTAAAGCAAGTAGCCCAGGATGTGCTAGTTGTAGATGCTTTTGCTATTGTTATTTCATTGACTATTATGAGCTTCATGCCAAAAACAGGTGGGACATATCTGCATATCTTTCTATATTGCTCACATTAGGTTATTATTGACGTGCAATTGAAAGGAAATAGATCTTAGAGTTAGTTTTAAATTGCATCCTCTTTACAAAATGAGTGCAAAAACATCACTAAACCAGGTTACAGGGCCTCAGTGTCATCAATGATACACAATCCATAACACTGAGTTTTTGAGAGGACAGAGGCAGGGGAGATTTGTGGGGGAACAGATAAGACTCTAAACCTCTTTAGAAATTCATGTTTTATTTTTTGGGCTCTTAGAAGTGACCTCCAGAAAAAGATGGTAGAATTCTACTGAGAACTAAGACTATAATTTACAAAAGGAAAGTAATCATAATTTTTTTTTTATTAGAAAAGGGATGTAAGGCTCTGAACACTTCTGAATTTTAAGTCTTATCTTTTCTATTATTCAGAGGCCAATCTAGATTTTGTGGGCCAGACCACTAGGTAAAATGATAATGCACACAATAAAGCAAGTCATGTGAATGTTTTTTGCAAGTCAGTGCATTTAAGGGCTTCCTAGGTGGCAGTAGTTGTAAAGAACCCGCCTGCCAATGCAGGAGATTCTGGTTCGGCTGATCTCTGGATCTGGAAGATCCCCTGGAGAAGGAAATGGCAACCCACTCCAGTATTCTTGCCTGGGAAATCTCCTGAACAGAGGAGGCTTTCAGGCTATAGTTCATGGGGTGGTTACATGTTGGACACGACTGAAGTGACTTAGCACATAGGCACGTACACACGCAGTGCATATAAAGGTTACGTTAGGACTTCCTTGGAAGTCTAGTGGTTAAGACTCTGAGCTCCCAGTACAGGGTGCACGAGTTCCATCCCTGGTCAGGGAACTGAGTCCCACACAGGGATTTGGCACCGCATGGCCAAAAAAAAAAAAAAAAAATTCTGCTTATAGTTTATTAAGTGTGTAATAATAGTGTCTAAAAACATAATGCACATACCTGAATTAGACAAAAATATTTCTAAAAAATGCTAACCATCATCCAACAATGCAAGTTTGCCACAAATGCTCAGTTTTTTGAAAAAAAAAAAAAAGATGCAGTATCTGGGAAACACAATCGAGTGAAGCTCAATAGAAGGAGGTATGTCTACAGATTTTCTTGGCAGCAGTGGTACTTTTGCCTTCATCCCAGAAGTGTTACAGAACATAAAGGATTCAGAGATATACATATGAGCTAATGTAATACTTCTGATGACGAATATGCTTTGTGAAAATCAGGTTTGAATGCAGCAAGAATGTATTTCCTGTGCACACACGCTGGGTTTATAAGCCAGAGAAAGTGGATCTACCTCCAACGGCAGCTGTTCTCATGAATTATGCATGAACAGAGCTTAAGGGCTGCCATGTCACAGCATTTGTTAATTGGGTACCGTTGATAAAATTCATATATATCAACTTTGTTCCTAACTCTCTTTTCAGGAGAAGTTTTATGAATCAACACTTGACCTTTTTACGTGTGAAATGTAGTATTCTGCAAATTCAGTCATTAACATGGACTTATTTGGTGTACCTTCCAGGTTCACTTTCCTTTTATTTATTCTGTGTACCTCTAGAAGCTTTAAAACCTTACATGTATGATCAGAATTTCAGGCATTAACAAGTCATCTTTAAGATGAAATGGCTTAAGTATGAGGATTGTAGAGATCTATCACGTTAAAGAAAAAATATTGCATGTATATCATAAATACACAGCTAATTAAAAAAAATTCCAACTGTAAAACAGTAGCCATAATTATCAAAATCCTTTACATATTAAAAATAGAGATGCTAAAACAATAGTTTTTGAATTTTGTCTTCTCTTTCCTATGACCCCCTGGCCAATTTATATTTTCAAGACAGCAATGATACATCTACCTTTATACAGTGATTTATAGTTTACAAAACACTATACTGTATGTCATTGTTATGTCATGGCACTGAGGGTGATTCATCAAAAGTCTGATAGCAGAAAGTATGAGAGTGCAACAACATGGACACAGTCCCAGTGGATTAACTAGCCTGGGATTGATTGAAAATAGGCTCCCTCAGTTTTGCAAGGAGGTATTTCAAATCCAAGGAGGTACAATAGTAGTTACAGAGAATTTAACGGCCAAAATTTTTCCAGTTTTCAATTAAACTCCCAAAGACATAAAATGTTTTCATAGAAGAAAAATATTGCATTTAAGCTCTTCAAGATTTTGGTAGTCTTAGAGAGTTTGTGATTTTGAAAGACTTTTGACTCTATTCAAACCACTGGTATATGTGGCAGAGGGGATAGGCATCCACGGGGTCCATGGTCGCTAGGTGTCTAAGTAAGCAAAGGTTAATAGTGGTTAAAGGGAGTAGGATGGAAGAAGGATGTGTGAAGATTTCCTACACTCTTGAATGCCTGAACTGTAATCACTTTATCTGAGCCTAATTTATTCAACCTTAAACCACTCCTGTAAAAGATGAAAACTACAAAGTACAGTTTAACTTTCTTTGAGGTCATAATTGACTTTATCTTGATTCACCTTAGCTTTCTTTCACCTTTCAAAAGTGAGCATTCGACTCCTCCAGAATATTATAGGATTACCCACCAGAGAGGCTCCACTTTTGTAATCTTTCATTCTTATTTCAGAAGAAATAGGGAATGTACCCATGCTATGAAATTTCCATTTCAGCATCAATAGAAAATAATAGAAAGAAAACAAAATGTGTTAGACTTATTTCTATGACATGGGATTCGTCTTTATCAACACCAGAAATTTTCCCTTCAGGGAACCAATTTATTTTTTAAAAGGGTAGGAAAAGTTGATTATTTTTTTCCTTACTATGTACCAGAGGTAAATCCAGGATAACTGATATTTACTTCACTGTATATTTGTTTGTTTCCATTTGCAACCATATTATATAAAGTTCTTTGGATTGCTATTAAAAACCAAGTGCATCTACAGACTCTGGTGAGTCATACTGAGATGTGCCAGTGTTCAAACTGTATCACTGGTCAACAGTAGTTTATTGACATCCTACAATAGGTATTAACTTCCTGCACTGATGCTTTCAAGGCAGGAAAGCACATCAAGTTCTGCCCTCAAGTCAAGCATTCTACTCTGATAGAATGCCTTTGAGAGTAGTTTTAGTACACCCTCTGATAAATGTCCAAATAGCTCCACTATTAGTCAATTCCCTACCTATAATCAGAGGTGGTTTTAACAATTTGATACCAAACCAATCCTTATTGTGCCTTCTCTTGTACTTATTTAAGGGTTCACATTTGTAGAAGAGTGAATAGATATATAGATAAATTTGATATTCAAGAACTGAAGGTCATCTTCCTAGAGGATCTGGCCAATCATTCCAAGAAGTCTGATAGTAATTGAAGCCAGTAAGTTTAATTAATACATGCTTATTTACTAAGGATAGTTCTTCACATAAGCATTAAAGTAGACAGTGTTGTAGATTAAGTTGTTATAATAATTGAGTCGGCTAAAATCAACCCAATCATCCCTGTATTTCATGTCAAATGTAGAGAGAATAGGAGATATAGCCTCCTGGAGAAATCTGAGAGAGAATGTGTGTGTGTGTGTGTGTGTGTGTATGCACTCTCACTGTATCCAACTTTCTGGTATTTGCAGTATGTACTTGCAATTTGCTGTTCTTTAATAGATACCAAGATGGACTTGAATAGTTCAGTTAAACTCTACTGGATTAGTTTGGTAATAATGTATTATTATGTGCTTCTTCAGGGATGAATATAGAGAAGAGGAAGATAGGTGAGGAAAGGATAAGTGGAGTGGTGGTTGTAGCAAGAGTCCTATTTTCAGGGTCATGAGGCTTTCAGAGAAGAACTCTATCTGAATATATCTTAAGAATTAGAGAGATCAATGAAAGTCAGAGAAGGGGATTACTTTGGGGAAACAAATATAAACTATGACTTAACCTAACATGTTGGCTAACAAGTTTTCTCACTTCCCTAAACACCTAAATAGCATATTGTCTACTTGTATAAGGGGCTTCCTTGATGGCTCAGTGGGTCAAGAACCTGCCTGGAAAGCAGGAGACACAGGTTTGACCCCTAGGTGGGGAAGATCTCCTGGAGGAGGGCATGGCAACCCACTCCAGTATTCTTGCCTAGAGAATCCCATGGACAGAGGAGCCTGGCAGGCCACAGTCCATGGGGTCACAAATAGTTGAAAACAACTGAAGCAACTTAGCACACACACATGTTATTTGTGTAAGATCTTTGGTAACATGCTCCATAAATACTAGTTAATTGCTAATTCTATGAAGAGCAACCCATATTGAACTATCAACATTTGGAGAGTGAACATGAAAGGATAATTTTATAAATGGAGCCTAGTTCCAAGCTTCAAGCTCTTTGATGCTTCACAAGAGAGACCTGAGGATCATCCTTTGTGAAAGAGAATTTGTATCTATGTTCATGTTCTGGAGAGGAGCCACTTGCATTGAAATCCTTTGGTTCTAACCAAACAGTTCTAACCACTGTGATGGTCTCATGGTGTGTGGATACCACCATGCCCCTGGAACCATGTTGTACAGTCCCCAAGACCAGTAGAAGAATTTTCAACGTACATCTATCAGGAAGTGCTCCCGCTCTTGACCATCGGAAAGTCTACGGATGACTTACTGTTGGTTTCAAGACTCTCACAGAGTTCGCTTTTCACCTCGCCATTTGGTCTGTCATTGCCTTTTTGGATCAGTTTGCTTTGCATGGTGGCAGCGGTCACCACAGCCTTGAAGCTCCTCTTGCGTTTTTGAACGTTCTGCTCTGGATGAAAAATTATAATATAAACCTTGGGCATATACAGCATGCCCAGAGACACCGAAGCACTTAAACTCATGGAGACAGTGAGTGTTGTTGTCTGGATGTACATCTGAGGAAGGAAAAGAGAAAAAAAGGAATCAATGTTGGTAAGCCTGACCTAAGATACAGCAAATAACATGGCCATTTTCTGAAATTATTCCAGCTTCTCTTCTAAAAGATCCTTATTAAAATTAATTAATTAATACCCTTACTTATAGTCAAACATTCCTTTATCCCCACCTGCAGATGTGGAAAAAGTTGTATTATTGATAAAGCCCAATTCCTTAAAACAGACCAAAAAACAAGTAGGCTGATGGAGCTTAATTTCCTGCTTAGATTGTAATTAACCATATATAAGAAAAGGAACAAAACGAGTCTAGCAAAAGAATAACACCTTATGTCACACAAACCTTCTTCAGGGGGTTATCCCAGGGTCAAACGTTATCCTTTAAACAATAAACTTAACCTAGAAGGTAAATTATATACAGTAGAAATAGAGTGGGAGTGAATAGTCCATAGCATCACTATTTCACACCATTGCTTGAATAATACTAGTGTTTGCATCTACACATAATGACTTAAGTTGAGCTGCCAAACCTGATAAATCACAAGCATGTCATAAGGACTTGATTTTTTTAACTGCCTCTCCCTCCCAAGGATAATTCTGAGGGGGTTCTAGATGACAGCATCAGATCAAAATAAATGTGGGTGCTTTTAGAAAATAATGAAAGACTTCCTCCTTCCAGGATTGAAATATGCCCTTTGGGGATGGGTCTTGACATCTGCATTTTGAGAGTTCTCCCTCTGTGTTCATTTTTTATCATTATTTCACTGAAATTGACTACTCTGGTGCTTACAAAGAGACGGCCCTCTGGAAGATTTTTCTTTCTGCAATCTAGAGGTTAATGAGCTGAAAAAGTCAAGCATAAAATCATTGCTTTTGGCTTTTTCATTTTGTTATGAAAACAGACATGATAGTATTTTAATCTTTTCTCTTCCCCAGTATTATTGAGGTATAATAAAAAAATAGAAATTCTATATATTTAAGTATAGAACTTAATATTTTGCTGAACATATTATGAAACCATCTCAATCAAGTTAATTAATTTATCCATCACAGTTACCATTTTCTTTCATTCACTCATTTTTTTAAAATTTGGCTGCATCATGTCTTAGTTGCAGCTCTGAGGCTCTTCACTGCGGTACATGGCTGTAGTTGCCAACAACATGTGGGATATTAGTTCCATAACCAGGAATCGAACCCATATCCCCTGCATTGAAAGTCGGATTCTAAACCAGTGGATCACCAGGGAAGTCTCTTATTTATTCTTTTTATTTTATTTTACTTTCTGGTGAGAATGTTTAAGCAAATTTCTTAGCAAATTTCAAGTGTATGCAATTCAGTAATTTTACTATAGTCACATATTCATCTTGCATAACTGGAAGTTCATACGTTTTGAACAGTTATCTCCCTGGTTTTCCTTCCCCCTGCCCTTGATAACAACTGTTCTGCTCTCTGCTTCTATGAGTCTGCCTATTTAAAATATTTTCAAAATATTTAAAATATTTAGGCTATTTTAGAGCCAACTCATTGGAAAAGACCCTGATGCTGGGAAAGATTGAGGGAAGGAGGAAAAGGGGGCAACAGAGGATGAGATGGTTGGATGGCATCATTGACTCAGTGGACATGAGTTTGAGAAAACACCAGGAGATAGTGAAGGACAGAGAAATCTGGTGTGCTGCAGTCCATGGGGTCACCAAGAATTGGACACAACCGAGCTACTCAACAACAATTTTAGGTTCCACATGTAAGTGAAATCATGCGGCATTTGTCTTTCAGTATCTGGGTAATTTCCCTTAATATAATGTCCTCCAGGTTCATCCATGTTGCCACAAATGTCAAGATTTCCTTTTATTTTTTTTAAGAGTCAGTAATATTCTATCATATGAATACATCACATCTTTAAAAATAAAAACCTTGATTTACTAACATTTTTCATTTCCTGAGCTCAAAAGATAATTTTTCCCAAGTAAGTTGGAATACTGAGGCTACAAAGTAGCCATGTTTGTTTTACGATTATGAAAAGATCCCTTTATCATCTACATGATCTTCATTAATATCTGTTCACGCATAACGATACCAATGAAAACATAAAGTTGTCAGATTGCATCTGGTAATCCCCAGGACCCAAACAAATTGTGTCCTTTTTAATAAAGGCTCAAAATACATATACCTTCAAGGATAAATACTTGAATCAGCCTATGGCTGCCTTTTTCTAGGGGAGATTGTTTCTATTAACAGATGACAAAGCCTTGAGATAAGACACTGTCCAACCTGTGAAGAGAATTTCAGGCACCACTAAAGAGGCTGTCCTTGTCTGAGAAATCATATCCCATGGATTACTGAGTTTACTGTTCAGTTTATCTACCACTAAGGCTGCGCTTTGCTTAAAACCCTATCATGAGTGTGGGAACACCCATCATGTAGGGATATTTAGGATTAGCTTGTTTCAAAGTTCACCTCCTCCAGGAAGTCTTTCATGATAAAACTTATCTTAATTATATTGTCCTTATTTTACTTCTAAGCACTAATGCATTGAAAAATAAAAACATGGGAGCACTTGGTAACGTGTAACTATGTAATTATGTAAACCTTGTAATATTCATATAAAATATACAACTAGAGTATAAACTTCCTTAGGATCTGTAATCCACATTTTTCCTTACATATCTCTAAAAATTACATAAAAATTACTTAGATACCACTCATAATACAGAAATTACATAATAATTACACAATAATTATGTAATATAATAAGAAATTACATAATAATTATATACATAATGTAATTACAATAATAATTACTTGGAGAAGGAAATGGCAAGCCACTCCAGTATTCTTGCCTAGAGAATCCCATGGACAGAGGAGCCTGATGGGCCACAGTCCAAGGGGTCACAAAGAGTCAAGACATGACTTAGCAACTAAACAACAATAATTACTTAGATATGACCCATTATTTTCAAGTATATAAAGATCTTCAAGAACCCCTTGATTTATAAAAATAATATAAAATATGTTTTCTATAACTTCCACTCTGTCAAATGGACATCAGGATTGATGACATTCTAAGTGAGAAACACAAAATAATGAGATGTGAATCCAGATTATATAGGTTGGGCTATTTGTGCATGTGCATGCTAAGTCACTTCAGTCCTGTCCTACTCCTTGTGACCCCATGGACTGTAGCCCAGCAGGCTCCTCTGTCAGTGGGATTCTGCAGGCAAGAATACTGGAGTGGGTGGCCAGCCTCAATAGAGGCATCATGAAAATACATCCCTCAGCAAAGTGATAAATTACTACATGTCATGACCTCTCAGGCTCAGTTCAGTTCAGTCGCTCATTCGTGTCCAACTCTTTGCAACCCCATGGACGGCAGCATGCCAGGCTTCCCTGTCCATCACCAACTCCTGGAGCTTACTCAAACTCATGTCCATTGAGTCAGTGATATCATCCAACCATCTCATCCTCTGTCATCCTCTTCTCCTCCTGCCTTCAATCTTTCCCAGCATCAGGGTCTTTTCCAATGAGTCAGTTCTCAGGTGGCCAAAGTATTGGAGCTTCAGCTTCAGCATCAGTCCTTCCAATGAATACTCAGGACTGATTTCCTTTAGGATTGATTGGTTTGATCTCCTTGCAGTCCAAGGGACCCTCAAGAGTCTTCTCCAACACCACAGTTCAAAAGCATCAATTCTTTGGTGCTCAACTTCCTTTATAGTCCAACTTTCACATCCACACATAACTACTGGAAAAATCATTGCTTTAACTAGGCTACCTGCCAACAAGTGAAAACCCATACTATATTTGAGAGAACTAAAGATCTACTACAGTTAAGAGGGTCTTGTTAAAATGTGACAATGTGCCTTTAAACCACATAAACCTCTCTAAGATATGCCACCTACTTTTAGGCAACTTATGAATACTCATAAGCTTCTCTTGCATTGGTTAATCCTCTTTGGATTTCTACTTATTCTCCTGCTAGTATTGCTTCAGAAAGGCTATGTAGAAAATGGGCTGCACAGAAAAGATATAAAGAAAAAATAGAGCCAAATGCAAACTACAGATATAAATATTTCAAAGTCTGTCAAATAGGTAACCATCAGTTTTATTCAAGTTGGACCTAGCCAAGTCAACTTAACTTAAAAAAGAAACAAGAACCAAACATAAATACCTCCAGAGATCAAACAGCCATGAAATGATAGGAGCATCCACATTGATTATGCTCCTGCTCAGTTACTAAGTTGTGTCCAACTTTTTTGGGACCCCATGGATTGAAGTCTTCGAGCCTCCTCTGTGCATGGGATTTTTCCAGGCAAGAATACTGGAGTGGGTTGCTATTTCCTCCTCCAGAGGATCTTCTCCACCCAGGGGTCTAACTTAAAAAAGAAACAAGAACCAAACATAAATACCTCCAGAGATCAAACAGCCATGAAATGATAGGAGCATCCACATTGATTATGCTCCTGCTACCACCACATTGATTACTTGGATTCTTTTTATAAGTCTTAATCTGCTGGTCTTTTAAAAACATATAATACTAGACCAAACAATTCATAAACACCTTTCTAGTTTGAAAGTCTTATAAATTTTATCTGGAATCATAAATATATATGATAAATTTCTTCCCTTTTTCAGAATAGTTTCTGTAATATATAGTAAATTTTATTTTGCTAAATATTAAGCATGAAGTAGATTCTGGAATGCTGGTTTCCACATTATGTATTACTGTAGCCTATCCTTTCAGCAAACCAACTCAATAGAAGATGTAATAAACATAGAATTAGGCCAAATTGTACGATGCTTAGTGTTTCAAGCTCTCCATTAGTCACTATGATTGCAAATTATGCCATAAGGCTGACCTTACTTATGTGCTTTTATGAAAATTTTAATGAGTTTACTATATAAAAAGCATTTATACCAAAATCATACCCTAAAATCTAAAATGTTATGATGGCCAAGTCTTTGTTAATAAGATTTTGGACCGTGAGTAGACAGTTTTTGAACTTCA